CAGTTTTGTAATGGAGATAGCTTTTCTCCTAGGCAAAAATGACCCATCCATTTTGTTGGGAGAGCCAAAAAAGCAAGTGCAAATACTTGATTAATGTACAACGTCTCCAAGCATCAGGAAGAGATTCTGTTCAGAACTGAGATTCACAATGTCATCCTAGGCAAATGTCATCAGAAGTACACACACTGGATTGAAAAGTGTTACTCCCATGTAAATACAGATAGGACTGTAACTCAAAAAGAGAATGAGGAGGACACCAAGCACATTTTAAAACTAAATTTGTACAACCAACTGATACAGGCAAACAACTGATTCCCCTTGTCTCTTTTCCCCAATACCGCTGCTTCTTAGTCCAAAAGCTAGTATTGCCTACCAGCCATTATTGCATGAGGAGCTTGCAATGACTGTGGAGGTTGCCATGACTTGACAACATGCCAGTCATGTATCTCAGTCATAAGATTCCATGAAGCTATCATGTCATCAGATTGGCACAGTGGCTTCCACAGCTGGAACTCTATGAGGATGGGAAAGGATGCTGGTTTATGGAACCAACTTTGTCTTTGATACCTCTTTTTATTAGGTGCATGACCAGAAAGAGTTGAGATCCTGAGCCATCAAGTTCACACTGTTCCAACATTTTGCTGCTACTTCATGCCCATCTGTCATCAGCTGTCTCTCTGCTTAATAGCATGGCAAGCTGTAACCAAAACTGGGATCTCAAGTCCACTGCTTTAAAGATCCGCTTAGAATCTCAGCATAAGAAAAATGCATCCAAAGTTCTATTTCCCTGGACTTCCAGAAAGTACCCAAAACCAGAGATTAAAAGAAAAAAGCAAAATGCATGTTTTGAAATGATAACTATATTCTCTCTTCAAAGTATCAGTCATGTGTACCTGAACAATTTAGTCTAGAAAAATCATATGGCTTAAGTGGTAGGGCGTATCATGCCTTGTGCTCTTGTAGGTGTTGAGATGATGATAAAGTGAATGCAAAGAGTGTTTTCTACACTACAGGCCAATAGCTTGCAGCACTGATTTTTCAAAAGTAACTAAGAGGTGTGCTTTTCATTACTTCTGAGCAATGGGAGATACTTTCTTTTTGAAACTGTAACTATAATGGTATGTACTTTGTGGGGCCTTGAAATTACTCTAACAAAAAGGGACATGGTGTCACAAGGGACATGGTTGCACTGCAGGTTAAACTGCAAAGCCTTTGGGCTGCAAGGTCAGAAGACCAGCAGTTCGAATCCACGTGACGGAAGTGAGCTCCCGTTGCTTGTCCCAGCTCCTGCCAACCTAGCAGTTCAAAAGCATGTAAATGCGAGTAGATAAACAAGTACCACGATGGTGGGAAGGTAACAGTGTTCCGTTTCTAGTCGCACTGGCCACGTGACCACGGAAACTGTCTACGAACAAACGCTGGCTCTACGGCTTGGAAACAAGGATGAGCACCACCCCCTAGAGTTGGACACGGATGGACAATTTGTCAAGGGGAACCTTTACCTTTACTTTACTTTGTGGGGCCTTGAAATTACTCTAACAAATAATGGCCAGAATCTTCTTGTTGCGCTCCACCACCACAGCAAAACTGTCACCAGTAGTGCTGTCAAAGGTTATGATTTTCAGGGTGTGATCAACTTCTTCTCACTGCATATGTCATGTGCACTCCAAAATCAACAAGGAACTCTCTAACTAGTAAGAATTTGCTGCTGGGGGTGACGTCATTCCCAGTGCACCAGTCTAGCTACACAAGAAGATACTAGATATTAATAGATATTTAAAGTAACCTGACAAATTCTGGAATACCTACCAATCATCATAAATCAAGGCAGTCTTACATCTATGTCAAAAGCCCAGAAGATCTTGCTGCACCAGGAACCACAGTTCCAAAATGTTGGCTTGGTTGAACCCAGATCTTTACAGGCCTTTCTTCTGCTCCATTTGATGGGGCTAAGATTCTATTCAGTGACAGCATAAACCCTGCTGCAGGATGACCCACTGTAGACACTATGCAAGGGATCGCTACCCCAGCAACATGACTTCCACTTGTGCAATGAATCTGTAGATACCTCACTGAGAATGCCCAAGTGTTCATGCTGCTGTATGTTGTTTCAGCTATTTGACACAATGAATTTCTGGCCCTCAGTTCCAATAACAGGACTTCTCCAATAAGGGTCAGCATATTCGTCAACTAGTCTTGGAGAAAATGCTTGTTCTTGGCGTCAGAAAACTACCGAGAGTCTCCAGATGAACAGCATGGCCACTCTGCCATAATATTTTATAGTAATAATTAAATAGAGGATGAAACTAGCTCAGTAGTAGGTCCCTTTATTTTCAAATAATAGCCACTTTTTATCACTCATGTACAAAATGCATTTAAAACATGAAATAAAACAAGGTATTTCACATTAGAAAACAAGAGTTGGACAGAACAAATTAATTTCTACTTGAGTTTTTATAAATATTTCAATACAAAACACTCAACTTTACATATTAAGATTTAATTATACATTATTTTCATATATATTTTTAGGCTGGCAAATTTGGTAATTCTGGAGTATTGTACTGTATCTTTTCCATAGCACCTAGTTTGCCAGAGAACCCAGCTGAACTGAAGGTGGCTATTTTGACAGTCTAGGTCACACACACTGCACCAGCCTGTTATGCCTTCCAAATGTATATGAGTCAATAAAATGTTTTGAAGAGGGGCTAATTTGCCAATATTGAGAGGATAAGGGAGTTCCTGATATCAGTGCAGCTTGAAGTTTGTGCATGGCAACAACAGAAAACCCTCAGTAATACTGTACCATAGTAAAATGATGGGTTATTTAGTTTTGTAATGTTGAATGCCACATTTGTAATTATTAGAAATCTTACAACCTATATCTGGGTATAAAACAAGCGCACAGGGGAAAAAAGATTGGGGGACCTTGTTCAAGTTGCTAAAAATGAGAAACTGACAAGAATCAGCATTTATTTACAGCAGTTTGCTAGAGTGCTGAAAACACTCAATACGGTGTCTTGGCACTTTTAAGAAGGGTAGTACTTGCCACACCCATTTTACAACTTATAACCTAATGGCTAAAGAGCACCCAATAAATGTATGACCAAGCTAAGATTTAAATGTTCATTAAATTCAGAAAATAGAGGGGGGATAAGGAATTCTTATCTGACCACAAAGTACTCTACTCTGTTGTCTCCTGTCCCTTGAATTTTTTTTATATCTAAGGTTATTGCTTCTGACAATGTAAACCTAGAATGATGACTTTGGCACCAACACATGACATTATTAACAATTCAGATGCTGCCATAAATATCAGGGAACAAATTCAATATCAAAATCATGACCTCTGTTAAATATTCTTGAGGAAGACTATTATTCTCCAAGTCCCCATTCTCTCCAGTTATTTTGTTCAGCATTGTCTCCTTCAAAATTAAATGTCATACAATTGGGGGATAGAGGAAAAATCAATTAAAGATGTTTGTAACAGCCACACATAACAGCTAATATTCTTACAATGTTTTATGAGACACATTTCTGCATCTGATTTTTAGCTATTCCAAAGCACATTCATACTATTAATACTGAAGTATTATGAAAGTATTTAGCTATCCTTAGATAAATTAAAAAGTAAAGGATGCCTAACCTATGCATACAAAATACGTCAGTACAGTAGGACTGTAGTATTTGTGGGGGATCATTTCCAATCCCTCTCCCACAAATGCTGAAAAATACATTAAGTATCAAATGCTATACATTGCATAGTCTCTGCCTCCCTCAAGTAGCCAGCTCCAGTAAACACACCACAGAAATATATATAAAAACATATTTCTTGTGGCTAGGGGGATCCTGCTGTAATTTTTTTTAATGTGCTACTTTGGAATAGGCTTTTTATTCATCAAAATCATTTTTTCATTGCCAGAAGCAATGTTACACTGAATTTTTGTTGCTGTTCGATTTTATTCTGTTCACTGCTTTTTAAGCTTAAGAAAAACAGAATCATACAAATCAGAAAATTCGGATATGCCCTCTCTTAAAAGAAAAAGATTTTGTCTACAAATCACAAAGATTGTGTCTTTGATCCCATCTACTCTTGTTTCTGCTTCAACTCAACTCTGAGAACTTGATCACTTTCACTGTCCAAAGTAGATCCTACTCAGTATATCCAGCAGTTCATCAAACTCCAGCCTCTAGCTGGACAGATACCTAAATGTCTTAGCTATCCAGCAGTTCATCCACTGAGATATCCATTAATACACACTGACACATGTAGACATTACGCTCAGCATCCGAGTCTGTGTATTAGAAAAACTCTGGATCAACTGGCTACATTTTAAGACTGTAAATTTAGCATAACTTGCAACATTGTGTCAATGTCTTCTCTGGATTCAACAGATTCTGTATACCATTAAAGAGTGTAAAACTAGGACTAGACATAAAAGTGGAAACACAAAGTTGAAATAAATTCATCCACAGTCCAGTCACATGAAAATATTTGCAGCTGTAGTGCAAATGACTTTTAGAGACAAAGTCCTCTTCATGACAACTACTGCATTCCAAGTGCACTGAAAGTTTCCCTTAACAATTTTTTGTGTCATGTGCCATCCACTCAGGAATGACTTACAGTGACCCTAAAAGGGCTTTCAAGGTAAATGAGATATTTTAAGGAGTTGTTCAACCAGCTCCACCACCCCCCAGTGTGTTTTCATGGCTGAGTGGGGATTCAAATCCAGGCCTACTGAGTCCTAGTCCATCACCCTATCCACAACACCACAATAAGTGTCTAAAATCCTACTTCTTGTTTTCCTTTAAACCATGTACTTTTTCTCCCAGTATCCAAGTTCTAGAGAACACTCTAGAAGCAATTACAATTCTTGAATCTAGCCCAGTTCCACTAATATTCTCTCAGTCTTCCACATCAAAATTCTCTCCTGACAGTGACATGTAAGGGTGCCTGATAAAACAAAAAAGCAGAGGTCACACTGAAACCTATTAACAAATTTAAGCATAAAATATTTATTATGACTCATTAATTTCCACAGTAAAGAAAGACATTGGGCATAACATTTCAGTTAGCTCTAGGGATACTCAGACCTGGTAAAAATCAATGGAACATAACAGTGATGGCTAACTTGATTTTCATTTATTTATATGGATTTACTTTAAGCATTACAACTCCGTCCAATCCAGTGCTGATAATCCTCCCTTTTAAGGCCATCTCATTCAAGAAAACACTCTACAGTGTATAGCAAGAAACACCATAACAGTAGCTGCTATACTTCACTTACTCTTGTTCACAATTCCAGATTTCCAGTATCACATATTTCCTGTTCCTTAGAAAATTATAGATATGTAAATATATCAGATGAACAGTGTATACATCAGGCATGTGAATGCACATCAACTGCAAAGTATCAGTCACCATGTGGTGTGAAGGTTGTCCCTTCATATCTCTCAGCTTGGATCTCTATTTTGCCTAATATGTAACTTTAAGAGCTGAGTGATGTTAGCAGTGGTTCCCAACTCATGCCTATAATTATGATTTAATTAATGCAATGTTTTATAAAATACAGCCGTGATCATTAGGTGAACAATGCAACAAACAACACTGTTGCCTCTAGAGTAAATTTAAAATCTTGGGTTGAAATTGTGGCTTTTATCGTTGTTCTCAATGACACATGAATGCCATTTCTATGCTGCAATGGCCTGACACAGATCCCTTTATTCTGGAAGATCTAGAATATAGAAATATAATGAGGGAAAATGATTTAGACAAGCTAAATCACTGAGACATTCCTCCCTCCTATTTATTTTTAATTGAGGAGATGTCTAATTTGTATCACCAAGTATACCAGATATGTTAAAAGCAAGCCCACTGCCCAAGCGCTGTTCCTTAGGTAGCAAAAACAGCTATTCCCAAAAGAGGAAGCAGACCTTGGGAAAATCTCAAGGTCTGCAGAAATATAAAAACCTTTAATAAAAGATCTGAACAAGACTAAATATACCCAACTCAGCCTGGTAGCTACAAAATGCTAAGAACACTGAGGTGAGAAGACATAGAGAGGTGGGGACAGATAAACAGAGGGAGAAATATAAGGTAAGAATCATGAGAAGAGCGTGGCTGGTTGGCTGGCTACAAAATTTTGTTGCTTTAACTCAGATATTAAATCCTTTTAAATATCCCTTATTTTTTTCATATAAAAAAGGAATGGTTATTCCAAAATTCTGCAATACTGTTCCAGCCTCCCCTGACCAGTTCACCCCCCCCCAAAAAAAAATTAAATGAAAGACAGATGAATACAAACTTACTACCACCCATGAATAAACAACCTGCTTTTTTGTGGGGGAGGTCAGGGGGAAGAGTGGGAGGCTTAAGTTACAGTTGAACTAAAAGCAGACTTTACATTTGTTTTTTGTTTTAAAAAAGACTTTTTAAATGCAAATCTAAGACCAAGATCAAATTGCACGCAACCCTAAGAAGCAAGGTATTGAAACCATGATTGTGACAACCTGATGTCAGAATTTTGATTAAGCACTCCCATGAAGAACATACAAAGAAGAAATCTTGCTATGTTCAAGTTCTGAAACAGCTACCCTATAGAAAAGTTGATGGCTTTCTCCAGTGTTGTCAATACACTTATCTCTTTACACATGTTTCTGCTAATGTCCTAAACTTGGGTTCCAGCTGATCTAAAAAGTCAAGTGCCTCTTCTTCTTGCTGATCAGTGCAGCAGCCAACAGAGCCAGCTGGAGAACCTCTTCCTTCATAGTTATATGAAAGGATATAGTCATCAGAGTGCTTATGCTCTTCATCCTGTCCACACAGGTACACTTTCTGTGAGAAGAGAAAAAAAAGTCATGTTATTTAATTTTTCTTAAACTAATCTAAACATATGGCATAAAAATAATTTCGATGATTTACCTTTCAATGATTAATTTTTAATCAGAGTGTGTCCTCTAACGGATTCCTATATATAAAAAATGCACATGATTGGTCTATATCATTCATTCTATGAAAGATTTAACACACACAAAAATCAGAGTTCTACTGATCACACATGTAATCATCATCTTCTCTATCAGTTTTTTTTTTCAAAGAATGTGAAAAATGTAATTGTACATATATGATAGATTCCGCTGTTAGGGTCCAGTTTATATTGCATACAGTTTTCTGAGGCTGAACAAGCTAAGGAGCCTCAGTGGTTGGTCAACACTGGAAGAATAATGCTATATTGAGTTAAGGTAGGGGAATGGTACTAGAAAGAATAAAAGAAGACAGAACAAAGAAAACAGAAATTGCAAGTCTCTGGTCAGATAACATAGTGATCTCTCTTTGTAAACAATGCAACCATTCCCCCCCCCCCAGAAAAATCCAAACACAAAAGAACAAATTAAAGGTCAGCTTTTAGTGAACAGTAATGTTCCAAGTTACTGGGTGGATCTAAAGGAAATACCAAATGTTTCTTCAGAATAAATCACCATTGTAGCAGATTATTAATAATGCCACCAAGAATGTGAGCTAGAACAAGAAATGTCAGAAGGCCTACCTCAGTTAGGCGAGGGTGTGTGAAATTCTGCCATTCTGAGTAATTGTATCTATACGCATCCATCATGGATTGTCCATATCCTCTTCCAGAGTCTATTGTATGATGTCCCATTCCTTTGACAGATTCAAGGGTGTGATGTCCTCCTCCCTTAACTGACTCCAGCGTCTGGTGTCCAACACCCTTGACCATTTCAAAGCTTTCCTGTCCCCCAGTTTTCACTGCACCAACTCCTTGATCAGTAGTAACTATATTTCCTGCTTTCACAGGAAGTATATTGGGATCCTAAAAGAAAGGAGAATGGAGGAAAACACAAATAAATTACAGTGCTTTGAGAGAAACGGAGCTTGTTTCAATAACATCTCAGAGCTGACTCAGACGGTAGAAGAATCACAGAAACAAGTAATGCTTCCATAGTATCTGCTGAGGTTTTCTATTCAGACCAGGGGGAAGTGAAACCAAGGTAGAGGATATATCAGGGATCTCCTACCAACTCTCCTCTGATTGAAGAAGCTACTTGGATGAGTAGCAAAATGTTTCAAACTAAGAAGAAAGAAGTCCAGTTTTTATGACTCAACTTCCAGACTTCACCTGGATAACTGAGAATCTTCACAGATGTATATCTGCTGTGTTTGCCTGTTCAGCAGTATCTAGTGCATCCTGCAATGAACACCAACCCACCTTGCAATGAACACCAATCCAGACAACACCCATCACTTTGCTTTATTCTGTTTAACAGCACATTTACTTTCCTTCACCTATATTCAAGACAACTTCTATGACACTTCGGTAGAACACTGAATCTTTTGGAGTCCCAAATCAATTCAGCAAGAAATACAAGCTTAGAGGAGCCTTACACTACTGTTTCCACTTTGGATTAGAGATGAAATAGTTAAACATGTTTTCTTTATTCTTTCTTTTTATTTTTGCCATGCTCTGTGATTGGAACATCTCAGGTCTCTGATCAATCTCCATCTTAATTCACTCCACTTCTATGTTTAAACTAATGCTGAGCAGCAACAATTTGCTAGAAGACATTTTTTCTGATCGGATTTCTGAGATATTTGGTTTTTAACTCCCTATGTGAAACACTGGGGAATTTGGGGCATGATTTTGGACACGATTCTGCAAAAGTGGTGGGTGGGGAAAGACCCTATCTGCAGAATCTTCTCCATAATTTTCTAGCAATCTTTTTGTGTCAGTTGCCATTTCTACTCCTCCCCCATGTCCTTGAAAGAGTCTTACTGAGGCATAGCAGAACATGCAAAACAATAACTAGCTGCCAATCCATTTGCAGAAACATATACAGAAAAACAGACAGATACATACACTCAAGTTTAAACAATCAATAAAAATGTCTTCACTCTTTCAAACAGACTCCTTCCTTCTCTGTGCATCTGTCCATATCAAAGCAAACTAGATGAGTATTAAGTATGTCTAGCGCCTAAGCTGAAAGACCAAATAGTGGGGGAGAAAAGATTAACTTACCATTACTTCCTCTCCAGGTGCCTCTGTGTTTGATATGATTAAGTTCTGATTTGCTAGATCATCACACACATGTTTGCTACCACCCACAGGTACAGAACGGCGGCAGCAGACACAGAGCGTTATCAAAATTACTAGAGAACAGGAAGAGAAACAAACACAGTGAGAAACTTGTGTGCCCATACATTATTTGTTATTAATATTAAAATAATTAATAATCAAGCACTGGTGCAACCCATGAGGGGGAGGCGTCTCACACTGGGACAGCGGGGCAAGGCTTCCAATTGACTGGACCACAAACTACTGGTGACTCTCACACTTGTCCTCCAAAGAAAGGACAGAATGATGCTCATCTCCCAGCACTCAATTTTCCTCACATTACACTTGTGAAACAGTTTTAACACGAAGGCAAGTGACCAGCCCAGTCACCCACAAAGTTTTGAACATAACTGGTGCTTAACATCTGCTGGATAGAGCAGTGGTTTAGGGGGCCAGAGGTTGGGAATTTCTGCCTCCTTGACCAGGGCTGGATTTGATGATCCACAGAGTCCCTTCCAGTTCTGCAGTTCTAAGATGATGATGAAATCAGGGGTCTCTCATTTAAGTCAAGGACTCCAGCTACCACCAACATCAGCTTTCTTTATACATCCTCAATGGACATTTGATACTGTCTTTTTTCCCCCCGTTAGAGGGAAGGGTGATGTGCTGAATGTCCAAAATACAGTATGACACTGGACTAACCAGAGCACGTGAAGAACCTTTTTGAGAAGGCAGTAGAGCTTTCTGGGCCACATGGCACTGGCATCCTCTCTCTTATCCATATACCCACCCATTTATACACAGAGGTCTCTCTCTTCACCACAGTTGTACTGTTTTATCACTGTGCATTTAAGAGAAAGAGCCCAGATGGTCCTTAATGAAGAAGAACTGTAGTATTTTCTTTGTTTGCTTGCTTCCTTAAAGCATCATTTTAGTGCAATATTAAAAATAATTATTTAAATAAATAAATAAGGTTTAAGAAATACAGGTGGTTTGAATTTTGCAATTCTTCAACTAATGGCAGATGTTGCATTTCACATAAAAGAAGAATAAATATACTTACACAACAGCAACAGTGATCCCAAAATCATTGCAAGTATAGCCCAAACACCAAGAGTAACATTAGGTGCATCTCGTCGTGGAGGTATCATACGTGTATTATCGCAATCACTGGGGGTTGTACAATCGCACACTTGAACTTTTATATTAGTGGTTCCACCATGATTTGCATTATCAGTTACTCTGATAGGAATTGTGTAAACACCATAATCGATGGGGCCCACAGGTTCCAGGTATGCAGAATTTTCTGCAAAACCATTAATATAAACATTATTTTGAGTCATTCTTCACGTTATAATGCAATAAGAACAGGACTTCAAAATTTGACTTTAAGAATGAGAAACATACCATCATGTTGTACTATTCGCCACCACTGTGTCGCCCGATCAGGCAGTGAAAATTGAAAAGGAGCTCCATAAGGATATAAATCAGCATCCACAGCAGTAAGACAAATTGGTTTTCTGTCTCTGCACATAATATACTCAGTTTGAACAATTACTGGGAAATTATCATTCTCATCTTGCAGATTAACCACCACTGTTCCAGTGCCTGTTTTACCACCTACGAAATACAAACCATTTTAGTGCCAGCCTTGCAATTTAATGATATTCACAAGTTTTCAGAAGAGGTCAAATCTAATAAATTGAGATGTCCCACAATTCAGAAATTCGAGACACTGCTTCCATTACGGTTGAAAATGATGCTACTTGACATACCAGCTGTCTGCATGAAAATTCCTGTTACAAATGTATGCTAGTCATTAACTCCATTGGCAGAAACTTCAGCAAGAAATTTCCATTAGTTAAGCAACTGGTATTGACATCTACTGTCACACACTCAGTCACTGTGCTAGTGGGTGATACTAAATGCTTACAACTACTTCTAAAATGGCAGTCAATGTTCCACAGAAATTTATTGCATTATGCCAGTGCATGTAACTACAAGAATTCTGGACAAAGGAATTTGATGCTGGTTTGATAGGACAGAGGTTCTTGACATTTGGTCTAGGAAGCTAGAATTCAAGATATCTAGAAAGGCCAAGGCTGAAGCATGGTAGTAGGAGATTCTGGACTGATTCCTTGATATTCCTGATAATTACGAAGAATTTTAAGTTGATTTTTCATTTTACCACCTGCACAGGCAGCATGCATTAATCAAGGCAAACATTTTGTAATTAGCAGAAAAAAATGACCTTGCTTCTTCCAAATTGTGCATGTTCTAAGATAGGGCATATGGTCATGTTGTGGAGATGGCGTAATACAGAAATAAGTATAGACACTAGGCTAGGGCAATGAATTAGAGGTTTGTGTTACCTTCCCTGACCCTTGGCAAACAAAAGGATTAATGCCTGAATGGCACTGCTTTATGAGAACTATATTCTTTCCCAAAGCATTTTGTATTTCTCCTCCATGTCTCATGTGTTTCAGTTAGATTCATGTTATCTTAGTCCTTATGGGATGCATGGATTACTTTTCTTGGTAATGACATCCTATCTCCCAGGCAATCCAGAAACTATAGCTGACTGGGAGAATAACAAAATCATAGAGAAACTGGTGGAAAAGGGGGAATGATGGTTCTACTGCTGGTCCAATGCTGCTGGCATTAGATACACAAAACAAATGTTGCGCTTACCAATGTTAAAATACTTGGTTTCCCATTTGGTAAATGTAAACGTTACCAAATGGTGTTATGAAAATGTTTAAAACAGAGAGTAAATTAAATTCTGGAAAAACAAGCAGCATTTTCAAGTAGTTACAAAGTTGATACAGTAAGTAATTTGAAATCTAATTATGATATGAACAAAGAATGGGCAGCAGAGGAAAACACCTTGCCAGTTTAGGCATTTATAATCCTGATGTGAAAACTGTTCATACACTTCCTTTGCTCATCCTTGGTTTACAGCTAGTTTTGGAATTCTTTAGATCTTTTCATATAATCTATAAATCAAAAATAACTTATTTTTAAAATGTCATGCTTTTACTTTAAAAAGTAATTTATGTAGTTATATTTCACTATTACTGTCCAACAATGCAAAACATTTTATCTCATACAGCTGCAAAAGTTTTCAGCAGCTAACTACTGGAGAAAAATGAAATATCAGCTATTAGACTACAGCTAGACAAAGTGCAGGTAGGAAATAAAACAGAAATTGACAGATTTACTAGCAAATGCCTTTTATCAAATTCTGTAATACCTGATAGTTACATGTAAAAGTTCATATGTTTCCAAGCATAAATATGTGTTGCTCTCAGCTCTAAAAATCAAAGAATAAATCTCCTTTAAGAAAATTTAGTGTTTTCTGATTTGACCAAGAGGATAGCATGATTGTTCTCAGCCATGGTTAACACTAGAACCACTGTAATATCCAACCACATGTAAAGCTGGTAGAGAAAATTTGCATACATGCAGAGTATGTTTGCAAGTAAGAATACATGATCCCACAGTCACAACCTAAATTTTGCATATGCTTCACATTGTCTGAAAGCTATAATTTAGAAAAACTAAAATTAGACAAACTACAGCAAATTTAATGCAACTTTAATACAATTTATATTGGCTGAAAACCTGTTGTTAAGTATAGTAAATCACCATTAGAACAAGTGGAATGGATCTATGGGGATTTGGTGAGTCAACCTCTCCATACAGTACGTCCTGCTGATTCAATAGGTCTACTGTAGTTACAATCTATTGTGTCAAGCAACAGGTTTTCAGCCACTTCATTCCAGGAAACGTTTTCTAGTACCAAATATAATTACTGTAGCATTTGATACTCACTTCGATCTGTTGCAATAACTGTTACATTACACTGATAGATTTGCAAATCTGGTGCATCTCTGTCTAAAAGTCTAGCAGTTCGGATCTGACCTGAGTCATCCATGGTGATCCAATTACATGGATCATTTATTATTCTATACCTGCCAGAAGGAAATGCAGTTGTTTGAAAACAATACCAAAAATATATATATTTCATGAAAAAAAAAAACTTCAAGCTCAGCTTTGTTAAGGAACCTAATGTAAAACCCCTGTTTACCAAGACCACACAGCAACTGATTCTGAAGAGGCTTTATATTAGGGAATCACCCTGCAGGACATTCTTCTCTATCTTAAGAATGCAGCAATTTCCTGAAAGTCTTTGCCACATTATTCTGATGTCCAGTTATTCAAGAATTCAAGTTACAGATTTGAGGTTACAGGTTATTTACTCCTCTAAAACCTATTCACCCCTACAGGCATTTTGGTAATAATCCATTAGGAAGGAGAGACCATAGATCCTCCATTAAACTTCAGAACAGAAACGAGAAGGTTCTGGCCCCACAAATTTTACATTTACCATAGGACAGCAGGTCAAAGACAACATGCCAACAATGGGCAGGGCCACACACACTCTTCCACCCACACACTTTCTACATCCCTCCCCTACTATCTGAACAAATATTGTCAGACACACTTCTTTTAAGCATACGTTCAATATGGCAAAATCCTCATCAAGATTCTAAGGGAAGGGGCAGAGAGAGATGCAAATTAAACATTCCATGATAATCACAACTTCTTATTGCTAAGCAGGGAAGGTTCTCCTTGCTTGGAAGAGCTTCTTCTAAACACACTATGATTTCTTCTTCAAGAGTGAGAGCCAGAGAGTTATGACATTCGAACTGTCTCTACTACCTATGTAGTTTCTCTCTCAAGAATCTGATTCCTAAATGAATCACCAGAGAATATGCTGTCCTCCTGTGGCACAGCATCCATTTCAGACCGCAGCAGAAGCTAGGAAAATAGAGCACTCTGAAAATATTATCAGTATTGGTGGGAAATTCAGGGATGCCACACAAGCATCCCAAAGTAAATGTATTTAAGCTCCTATATAGCGGAACAGGAATTATTTGGGTAACAGATATGCATAACCCACCAATACAGTAAAATGAAGAACTTCATCTGTATCTGTCCATCCATTTTTTGTATACATCCAACATTTCAGACTTTCTAGAACTATAGACAGTTTTCAACAATGTCAGTAGTAACACTTCCCAATATACACTTCAATATTTACATGTGCAGAACTTCAGCTGTGGAAACTGACAAAGTGATCTAACAAGTGAAGTGCCTGGTCTGAAGGACTGTCATGTCATCAAATCACTGTGGCAACTGCACACATGAATAAATAATAGACAGGATGCTAGCTATTATAAATTAAGCAACAAAATGCAATACCTTATGCCTTCACTATTTCCAGTTTCTGGGTCCCTTGCGTGATACTGGCCAACAATGGTTCCAGGTTCCAAACATTCTTTTACATTTAATATAAGTACACAAGGATCAAACACAGGCCCTTCATCCACATCCCGTACTTTAACAACAACAACACAAACACTTGTAGAAATTGGTCTTGCATTTGGTCCCAGAACATATGGCGCTTCATTATTTACAACAATTTCCAGTCTCCTCTCTTTGTTTTTTTCATAGTCTAACCCCTGGAAAATACACACAAAGAATTCCAAAGGTTATTATTATTTAATAATATTAATTATAATGTTCCAACATTCACAGAAAAAAAATACAGACAATAAAGCATGCCCAAAGTTGTTTTCTTAAAAAATGTGATTTCTTATTCCAAAGCAGTATGTTGGTGAAATGCTCTTTTCTCTTGGCCTCAGAAGCTTCCCGGACAAAAGAGTCAATGACATGAGCATTTTTATGCAATCTCTAACAGTATCTTTTTTGCTTGCCTTTTAAAAATATACTTTTCGCCTCTCTTTTCAGTAGAAGAAAGGACTCTGAATTGCAAAGTCATACTAGCAGGAGAACAGTCTCAGAACAAGTAACACCAAAAATGCTGCCGTAACAATTCTTCTAGAAATGGATTCCCCTCATTCTGGAGCCTGAGAAATGGGACCTATAACACACTGCTGCATCACGAAATGCTGCTGTTCAGTGCCCCAACTACTTCTTTCCATTCTCCCTCCCTAATTACTAATAACCAAAAAACACACCACTCTTCATTTGCTTTAAAATAAAAATATATGAACTTAAATACATAGTTCATGAACAAATGAAAGCAGAGTACCTGGAAAAGTCTACAATGGAGAAGTTTTCATTTACTACAGATTTACAAAAGGACAGTTCAGCAGCAGAGCATTAGAGGTGTGACTAAAAACTAATTTCACAGCTGGCCAAACATGAGCTGCTTAAAATCACTAAAATACTGAATGGATGGATGGATGGATGAATGGATGAGAGAGAGAGAGAGAGAGATTCCCATCTTCATTTACCTTTTCAGTACATAAAGTACCAATATTTGAATTCTGATTTCTCTCAATTTTGAAAGCACCGTCTTCATTTCCCTTTATGATTTCAAAGGTAGCATGCCAGGCTGGTGTTCCATGTGCATCTCTATCTATGATACCAATGTCCACTATTTTTGCACCGACTGTATTTTCAGGAACATACGCTTCATACTGAAATATACAAGAAGTTCAGATGGCAAGTTTTATTATACATAGTTTAACATTGGAACTTGATGGAATTGTAGGATACTTTTTTGTAGATATGATGTCGTGTTTGTTATACAAATCATTGTGGACTTACACACTATGGCCTAAAATGTCTAACAGTTAAGATATAATTCAAGCATCATGTTTCTATTTAAGTTCCTAGCAGAGCTTTGAAAGGTACATCTTTTATATCTTCCAAATATGTAAAAAGCTTAAAAAAGAGCTGACTTAAGCATGTCTATGGCCCCCCCATCTGTTGTTTCTGTGGGGTCCTATGGTCCCATATAATTCTCTCAGAACCATTTCAGGCTTCTAAAGGGAATAAAGAAACCCTGTCAAAGAACAGAATTCTGTATGTTCTTGGCTTCATAGGACTAGGACTGGATTTCTCCAGCTTCCTCCATAGAAACTCAGGTAGTGATCAAACAGGTAAACCGAACATTTACAAGGCTAGAGCGCAATAATAACGCATATTCAAGTGAATTCGCATCTCCTGTAAAGCCCATAAGGACTCTCTTCCTTAAAATCCACTTCCCAGAATTCTGCAGGCTGTGACAGGCTGAAACAGACAGGGAGCACAGCAAAGCTGTTGGTCACAGGAACATATCACACAAGAAAAAACAAATTCCTTACCAAAGAGATGCAGTCAGAGCTGAATTACTAGTGATAGGTATAGACATATAATTCTGGGATTCATGGAAACTACACCACAAAAACTTAAAGAAGGTCATAGAGGGAGAAAATAAATAAAGGAAAGTACATGTAATACTAAACTTGAAAATGGCATACATACCATACCATGTTCACACATGGGTGCATGATCATTTATATCTTCAACCTGAATGACAGCTGTTCCAGTACTACACAAGCCAAAGCGCTGACCTGCCATATCCCTTGCTTCAATCAGTACTAAAAACTTGTCTACATGCTGAAAGAGAGAGCAACAGACAGTATATGGACACAATTTAGTTAACAACAGGAAAATGGAGGAAAGGCCAACAGAACAAAATTTCCTTCTAGTAATTCACTGAAGTTATACTGCATTCTATACTGTCCACCAGCACAAACATTTTTAATGTTATACCCTGCCACTTATGCAGGGTATAAAAATGCATGAGTATGCTTACCAGTGACAACCTGGGCACTCTCATGACTGGTGAGCACCCCATCCATCTGCAGTACCTGAGTAATACTACTGATATACCTTATAGAATTCTGAGGAAATACTGAGATGGACTATGTTAAACAATTTAAGTACTCTGATAATATATAACCTAATACAAAATCTAAGTAGAGAGTTGTGACTATATCATCCACCTGGTTCAGACAAGCGGTCCAGTCTCTGATGCTTTAATGAGGTTTCTCTATCTTGAAGCAGAGGCAACACCAAAACTGTGGACAGAAAACTACTGAAATCTGGTAAAGAAACCAGCACAGGTGCATGGGGCATAAAGTGCTGAACTAGATAATCAAGGACAAGCTCTGTCACAACAAATTCAATCACCTATGCAATAACCTTAACCCTGTATGTTCCCCTCTCTCTCTTGGATTTTTTCCATCTCAGGATCACTCTCCCAAATATTTCCACTCCCTAGTAAATCCACATCTAAGAAGAGCTTTTATGTTAGCCCGTTTTAACATTTTTCCTTCGGCCACCCATGCCGGTCGATTTCTCAATATCCCTCGTGAAAAAAGACTTTGCTTTTTTTTTTGTTTAGAGATACCTGACACCCTGGTTCATATACTGTTTCAATGCCCTGCTCATTCCCACCTCCGATTTTTTTTTTCTTGAACCTTGGATTTCTTATTTTTCCAATTCTCCTGAGACAATTCTTTCTATTTTCATGAGCGATGAATGTAATGCCCTGACCGCTGCTGTTGCAGGTTTCTTATCTGCAATTCTGAAATTGTCCCCTGCTTCTCGCTCCTAATTTGTGAAATCTGTGTAATTTTACTTTTCCCATTTTGCTTGTGTTGTTGTTACTTGTAAATGCCATTAAAGGTTTCAGAACCACCAACTAGATAACTTTTTTATTTACAACATATCCTTTCCATTCATTTTACTTACCCACCATGTTTCTCTCTCTCTCTCTCTCTCTCTCTCTCTCTCTCTCTCTCTCTGTGTGTGTGTGTGTGTGTGTGTGTGTGTGTGTGTGTGTGTGTCCTCCTTGTAACCCATTTCTAAGACTAAGATTTTTTACCTTGTCTTCTCTAACAATGTCCTTTCTATTAAGCCTCTGTTGTAATCTAGGTACAAGCCTTGAGTCTCTCTCTTTCTCTTCACCTTAGAAACTCAGCAACACAATAAGGGCACTATCTGGTAACAATCATGGCTTTGGTCCAGCACCACATAACACAAGAAGACCAAATTAAAGCATAAGCTCTTTGCTTTCTTAAAACTTATTTAGCTGAATTCACATCTTCTGTAAAGCCTATAAGGACTCATCAGTTATGAGATTCTGATCATCCACTTATCTTCCCTTATTACTATATTCACGACTGCTTTGCCAAACTCTTCAATTCTTACTTTGTTTCTGCCACTTGAATGCACTGGGAATGCAATCAGAAGCTACAGAAGCAGGCATCATTTGTGCTATTAAGCACATTTTCCTCTGGAGTACATATACCCATCAAAGCTTTAGACTGACCAAGAAATGAGAATGAATCGAATTCAGGCATTAAAAAAACTTTAATTTGAAAGAGTGGGCAAGGAATAGACCTCCTTATTGCTGCCTTCATGTGAAGAACAACAGCCAGAAGAAAAGAAAGTCTACTACACATGGAGCTTCTCCAAACAACAGGGAATCCTATTCTTTTCAGAATCTCCATTTGTTTAGGGAAAATTCACTTTCCCAGGCTTTAGAAGGGAAGTCCAGTGTCACCAAGAAGGCTTTCTAACAGTGTGTCTCCTGTTGTGATAGAGATAAGGACTTCTGCTGAGGATTTTAAAACTTAGATAGCCACATGTGGGACAACAGAGTCTTTCAAACAGTGCTTCAAATTGTATCTGGAAAGAGACCAGTCATCACTGAAGCTGGTCAACAGAACTCATATGCTCCCTGTAACCATTCCCAGTCAATAGTCCAGTTGACATTATTCTGGCTCAGCTAAGGTTTCCAGACTTCAAAAGCAGTTCCACATAGAGCATTTATTATCAAAACTGTATAGTTCTACATAGAAACTAACTCTAAGGAAGAGCAAAAGAACAAATGGATATACTGAGATTATACACCGAATTCGCAACAGTTGTGGCTGTTTTGTTGAAGAATGTCTGCTGCTACACAGACACTCATTTTTTAAAAGATATCCATGGGTGCGGCCACATTAGTGGCAGGGAGTGGCCTAATTTGGGCTGCTTCGCAACAGGCTTGAATAGAACAATCATGAAGTATCATAATAACTGAGCCACTTCAGGATATTGGCAAATTAATCACTTCCTCTGCTTTTTTAAAAATTGACTTTTGGTGATACACTGCATCAGTTATTTTTTAAAAAATATTTTCTTTACCTTCTCTTACAGGGCGATCAGTTCTAGTGATCACACATGCCGGAATCAATCCAACCAAAGCAATCCTACCTACACTCAAAAATAATAGAGAGGACCACTTTAACGGCAGACTACTTTGCTCTAATAAAGATATCATCCTGATTGATGTCTTTAAGAGTGAACCAACCTGTCCCTGCAGTTAACGAAGCAGTGGGCTAAATGCCCATGCAGTCAGCCTCCATGTGCCATTTCTCCACCGCCTTCTTTCTGAGTTGCTGAATCGTAATACTGAATAATAATGAATAGCCACTGACAACATTAGGCTTCTAATCAAAATTACCTCTCTATCCAGGACTGGAGCTGCCAAAGTAATAGCACCTGAATCTGGATTTATATTAAATGTACTTCCACCTCGAGGAGATGGAGGATCCTGACCCACAATTCTGTATTTCAGTGCAGTATGTAGTGTATCAGGTTCATCTCTGTCTGTTGCCACCATCTGTCCAATTACAGTACCTGTATACACAAAATATCAAGGTACCATATTTAACATGCCATTATAACATACTGTGAAGTAATATCATTATATCCCAAAACACTACAAACTGGCATGCCTGCAGTACCCAAAACAGGGCAGGGGAAAAAATATCTCCTTAATAAAACTATAGTCACAGTCATAAAATGATGCTGCTATGCAATGTCCGCTCTTTCCATTACAGCTGGTGATAGTGGTTGCATCACAATCTCTACTGAAGTGAACAGCAACCAAGCAGCACAAGACACTACCTGCACTCTTTGCACATTTCCAGCATTCAGTTAATAAAACTTATCTGCAATATATCCACAAAATCAATCTCTTAGACGGTGTGCAAGTATGGCATTTTCCTGACATTTTATATAATTAAATTATATAGGCCTAGAATTTTAGGAAAATCCTACTGGGTTTCTGTTTTGGCAGTTAGAATTTAGCTTTGCCTATTTGGCCTATGGAACTCTAATTTGGGGAACAGATAAATTAACTGAAATTAAAAAGCCAGGATAATCTCTTCTAATTACTGCATTTCTATTGGGTCCATGTCTATCCACCACTACTCTGTGGAGGGCAATCAATACTTTAAAAACCTACCGCTATATACATGTTATGGCCTCTCCAAACATAAGTCTAAACAAGAGGTTTAAAGTTCTTGTTGTTTAGTCGTTCAGTTGCGTCCGACTCTTCATGACCCGATGGACCAGAGCACGCCAAGCCCTCCTGTCCTCCACTGCCTCCCGGAGTTGGGCCAAATTCATGTCGGTCGCTTTAACTGAAATATAAGTTGTAGATCTACTTACCAGATCTGCTGTTTTCAGGAATTAAAAATGTAACTGTATTTGGCTCAAAAATTGGAGGATTGTCATTATCATCCTCTATTCGGATTAAATGCACAAGTGGTACCTCTGGAGTATAGCCATCTAGTGTCTTTGCATAGCAAATTATCTGTATTAAAAACAAAACAAAACCTTATGCTTAAATAGTTAGTTTCCTTTGGTAATACACCAGATATGCATGTGAACAACTAATTTCACCAGACACAGAAAACAACTGTATTTAAGCTTTGTTGTTTTATAAGAAAGAAATCAGCTCACTTAGGTGTTTTTGGAGGGGGGTTGTTTTCGGTTGCTTCATTTGTTTCTTGCTAGTTTGTCATAACAGGATTTCCAATGGCTTTTACTTTTTGTACTTAAGTAACTTAAGACATTTTTGTACTTAAGACCTTAAAATGCTTAAGTTTCTATGTTTCATCAGCATAAAATCCATGATTTCTTTTTTTATCAAAGCATGTTTGTTTCACTGCCAAAATCTGACTACAATTTCATCCAACAGATAAAATTCTAACCACTAAACCAGAAATCAGAAACCAGTCAGTATTAATAGGACAGACAAAAAGGAGCAAACCTTACTTATTTACTCCATATATTCATGATAAACAAAACAGCATTAAACACAATTGAGCCATTGTTCAAAACACATTTTTATACATGATAAGTGAACATAAATTATAAAAATAAAGCACTTAAATTTGTATTATACCTTTTAAAAAAATAGCACACATACCGGGAATTCTTGATACTCCTCACGGTCTATTGGGCGGGTAACAAAGAGATTTCCAGTCTCTGCCTCAATGTAAAAATAGCCTACTGGTGGCTCGTCAACACCAGGACCACTTATGGAATAAGTTATGTTGTACTTTTGAGCTGTATCAGAAGACAACTATATTGAAGGAAAGAAAAAAAGAAAAAGAAAAAACAAATCCTATATCAGTTTATCTCTTGCATCTTGGAACTAAAATACAGCTCTAATTTGTTGCTGCCAACATTTATTCAGATGTCTACGTAACATAGAAAGTAATGTGGTTCCCTCGATGAATTGTAGCCCCAGACCATGACACTCCCACCACCATGCTGGACTGTAGGCATAACGCACTTCTCTTTGTTCCCTTCACCTTGTTGCCGCCACACACACTTGACACCATCTGAACCAAATAAATTGATCTTGGTCTCATTGGACCACAGGACATGATTCCAGAAATCCATGTCCTTAGTCTGCTTGTCTGCAGCAAACTGTATGTGGACTTTCAGTCTGAGCACTGACAGGACGACCCACCCCACCCCTTCAAACTCTGCAGCAACGCTGGCAGCACCCATACGTCTATTTCCCAAAGCCAACCTCTGGATATGATGCTGATCATGGCCACTCAACTTCTTTGGTCAACCATGGCGTGGCCTATTCTGAATGGAACCTGTCCTGTTTAACTGCTGTATGGTCTTGGCCACCATGCTGCAGCTCAGTTTCAAGGTTTTAGCAATCTTCTTATAGCCTATAGACCCTAGGCCATCTTTATGTAGAGCAATAATTCATTTTTTTTCAGATCCTCAGATAGTTCATTACCATGAGGTGCCATCTGGAACTTCCAGTGACCAATCTGAAAGAGTGAGAGTGATAACACCTGCTCCCCCTTCACACCTGAGACTTGCGACACTAACAGGTCTCATGAAACCATTGTAGCCAAGTGTCATTTCTTCAGTGTTGACAGAACTAAATGTAAAATAAATGTCATGCCCTGAACAGGAAGGAAGACCAAATTATACGTACAACTACAGCCTGGACAGCTTTCTAATACAAGATGACCTATTAATAACATGGAAAAATAAATAATCACATATTGGGTTGGTTGTGTTTATTTCCATAGCTATTCAAAAATCCAAGTTATTTTCTAAAGTTTAATAGCTTACACAGATTTATGTCACTTATCTTGTTTATAAAACATATGTTCTACAGGTAAAAAAAAAAGGAAAGAGCTCTTCATCATCATTCATCCAACTTCTTAAAAAGTACCTGTTGAATTTGCATTGGGAAGGGTCCCAAGGAATTCTCCATTATACTAGTTGGGACAGGAGCCCATCTTCGTTTACCTCGCCTCAGAACAGTCTCTTTTGTCTTGTGCATCTGGGTTAATAAAACAGAAGCAAAATAAACCAAAATAAACCTCAGTAATGTACTCAAATAGCAAGTTTGTCCGTCTGAATATATTTCCATGTTTCCTCTCTCTTATATACTGCAGACAACTCCCCCTGTGAACTTTTGCCAAGCATTTAGCCAACACGCTGCAATCACCACAAAACAACAGAATTAGCAAGACTGAACACTATACATTTCAATGGGAAGCAGAAAGGCAGAAATAGCTGTTTATGTGACAGTATTCAGGACATTGTTAACAACCACATTTCTTTGCTGAGGAAGATAAATAAATGTTTTGGTCTATCTCTGCTATCCAAAAAAGGCTCTGCAAAACTGGATACTCTGAAAAATTAGGAATTCCAGTGATACAGAAAATCTGCACACATAGAGGATCGTATTCTATTCAGATTGTTTCTCACCACAAACAAACAGCAATGAGAGAGCTGGCTAGCACACTGCCCTCCTCAGGCATTAATGTTAAAGTTTTCAGTGAATGCGTAAATATGAAAGGCCCTTGTCTTGTTAGCTGAAATTCTTTTCAGCGTGTAGATCATGAGGATGTGAACAGAAGGGTTAGAAAGGTGAGGGCTACCACCTATTTTCACCTATTTTAATTTTAATGCTTCTAATGTTTGGATCTGTTTCACTGCTGCTCTTGGTATATTATATAATTGTAAGCTGTCTTGAGGACCACTGAGTACTGGAAATAAAAGCTCGAAGGCAATCAATCAATCAATCAAGACTAGATAAATTCTCCATTTCTCTAATGAATGCTTTGAATGAATGTCACCTTTTTGGGATGAGACAGCAGGTGAACATGTATTTTCTTTTGTTGGTGCTCTTGCAAGTCCTTAAGCAATACAGCAAATGTTTTCTTCTCAGAAGTCAAAGAAACAGCATTTTTTGTATATATAGAACCATCTTCTAAAACTATGAAGTCAGGATCGCTTGAAGTGATTATGTCAGGAGTTCTGAGGCACTGCCTCAGATTTACTGCAAAGAAAAATAACATCTATAGTAAGAAACAAAATAGCAAAGAATAATTGCTCATTTCACTTCCCAAGACATGTTCATACCCTACACACACACAGAGAGAGAGAGAGAGAGAGAGAGAGAGAGAGAGAGAGAGAGAGACGTATCTGTATAATGTGTTACATTCTTTCCCTTTTTGGGCATATTTTTATTACAGATATGACTCACTAATACTATCATTCCACCTTTCCATCCTGTAATATTCTGAAAGCTAGAAGTCTACTTTTTTGTTTGTTTTTTGTCCAAGCAGTCAATTTAGAGTGGCAATTATGGACTGAAAACTGTGGTTTTCTAAACCTTTCCACTAAGGTAAGACTAGGAGCTGGAAAAATAATGCTGATCCTGGAATATGCTTCCAGCAGAGAATCGTTAAAAAAGCATACCAATTATTCATGGAGGACAGTGTGACTGTCAGTATGCAGGACCTGTCTTTTTCCAAAAAGATTTCAATCTCTCTCCTTTGTGAGTGGGAGTGGTTTCCTTACTGATCCAGTTACAATGGTTTGTAAGACAATGGTAAATTCAAGATGCTCTTTTACTTTGAGTTGTTAAAAAATGATGCTTTCACCAAAATTAATGTGTTCCTATGTTTCAGAGAGAAAATAAACTCCTCAAGGACAAAAGAGCTTCTGTTTAAAGAAAAGTGTTAGTTAAGGCTAAACTCTAAGAAGCAAAAAGTTACAGCTAAAGCTATATAATCAAAACAAGGAAATTCAGAATCTTCTCACAACATGAGTACGCTGATATCTCCTTTTTATACCTTAATTTCTACACCAACTAAACACTACATCATAACCCCACTAGCCTCCCCAATCCCTATTTAATGTGTCACTAGCACAGAGCTGAAATGAAATTGAGGTTTCAATGTCACAGACAATACCTATAAGCAGCAGATTTGTAGCACACAGCCTTTCAAAGCTATGTAAAATTTACTACTCCATTCCAAATTCTCCATATGTAGGGGAAGCAATTTTTGCAGTGTTCAGTAGGATTAACAGAGGAGTATTTCTCTCTCTAGAGAATCCAAGAATGGAACTCATTATTTTAATTCATGAATGAGGTATAAAAGCAATATGTCTATGTTTTGAATGAAGACAATCAGACTGATATGCGGTCTGAATTTCCATCTTTTTGGGGATACAGCAACCACTGCAACTTCAAACTGTAGGTTTTTTCCTCTTTCATCAATCAATTTTTGGTCACACTTTTATTACAAGTGGCTAAAATACTCCTGTTTATTTCAAAGACTAATTAATATTTTACTCTGGTACCAATCCACATAAAATCCTTATGCAAGGTGGCTATAAATCCAAATAAAACAAACAAATAGAAGATCTGACTACTGATCAGTAAAAAGCCCAGATTCTAGAAGTAATTTGTGTAGTTTTGCTGGTTATCTCTCACCTATTCATAAGTGGATTTTGTTTATAATAAGCACTGATATAAAATTACAAACCCACTATGCAATCTTGTGCATAGTTATTCAGAAAAAGCCCTGTTATGTTCTATGTGGCTTTCTCCATAGCAGGAATAAGCCACACTTTAAAATCATAAAAAGGCATGTTTATGATTATAGCACTCAAGCTTAAATGTAAGATGTATTACAATGTAAATATAGCAACAAGAAAAATAAAACAAGTAATATAATTGTTAACACCAGAAAGGAAGTTCTAGTGATTATTTTCAAAGGCATTCTTACAGTTTCTCACCTCTACCAATTAATGTCATTGGCTCCAGTTTAGGAGGCACATTGAAAGTAACTTTCTTGCAAGCTTCAGACAGGAAAGTCAGTATCTGGAGGAGAAAAGGGATTACAATTATATTTTGATCATTTTATATGTACTAAACTTTGCTGGCTGGATAACTCTAAGGCACAGATATACTATGACCATATTACCATCTTGAGCTGGTGAATATGAGTAGAAATACATGCTTTTATTCAGCAAAAATTCAAAGAAAATAATATCTCTAATTACCAGGAGGTCTGCCCTCCAGCAGTTCAACCTTATTTTCAGTAAAACTAAATTGAAACAACATTGCTTTGAAAAAAATGCAATCATGTAATACAATCTGTATGTCTTTGTTTGCATGCACATGCTTGACACATACATGCATGTTTGCCTATAAATGACTTGCTGTAGTTGATGCCACATAAAAGTAATCTGAAACTTCTCCAGATCAGTAGTTCCCAACTCTTGGGTTCCTAGATATTCTTGGACTAAATCTCCCAGNCCTTGGGTTCCTAGATATTCTTGGACTAAAAAACTCCCAGAAGCCTTCACCACCACCTGTGCTGGCCAGGATTTCTGGGAGTTGTAGTTCAGGAACATCTAAGGACCCAAAGTTGGGAACCACTGCTTTAGATGAAGCAACTGTATTCTGGAAAAGATGGCTGCTCAGCAACAGACCACATTCTTCACATGCAGAAGACCCCAGGTTCAATGCCCAGCATTTCCAGGTAGGATCAGGAAAAAATCCTATCTGAAATCCCGAAGAACTGCTGCCAGTTGCTGCTGACAATACTAGGCTAGATGGACAAAAGGCCTCAACCAGTATAAGGCAGTTTCCTATGCTCTAATATTTTTACAGTGCTTCATATAATCAAATGCAGCCAGGTAGATGGGGGTAAGATTCAACTGTAAACCCTTTCTATCAACACTGGGGAGTCTGGTGGGGTGATGCACAGCAGTGTCTCCAATTCCTTCCCATGCTTTTTATTCGGAGGGGGGGGATACCTGAGGAAGGCTATGTGAACTTGGGAGTGTAGCAATCTTCCAAACATTATGACCAAAATCTTACTGCAGAAACCCCTATGCCTAAAGGCAAATGTACAAGCGGTTTCACACATTGTTTGCTGCCAGTCATGCAATATATTGTATACTCAGAGAATGACTAGACATACAACAGATAAAATGTCTATACTACATGTGCCACTTCCCCTATATAAGCAACAGGCCTTTGTATGGAAATGAACAGACTTGCCTCTTCACCCAAAATTACAATTTCTTAGGATTCAGTATCTTATAGGCCTTTAGAAAGTTAAGAAGAAAACCAAAAATTGTCCAGTGTTCTAATCTCACAAAAACTTTGCAAACCCATTTCAATCAGAATTGGATGATAAATTTTGAAAATAATGTGGCTGTCAGCAAGCTGCTATATTTAAGGTAGTAGAGCAGGTCAGCTAAACTCATGTCAAGAAAAAAAGAGATACAAATTGGAAAAATATCTCCCCTATGCTCAACAGTTTCTATAGAGCTATCACTGCAAATACACAATAACTGAGCGCCAGAATTCATCTGGTTCTAAAACAGATATCTCTGTATCACAATCATTCACAGGGAGGTTTTTAATTTTATTTGTTTTAACTTGAGCCACCTGGAATCCTTTTATGGGGCGAAAGACAGCTTAGACTAAATAAATTTTCTGAAATATTTTCATTTTACAACAATGGAACTATTTTTAATAACATGGATTTTCAAAGCATTGTATTATCAAAAAGCAGCACGAAAATAACCCAGACTAAAGTGTCAAATTAGTCTCTGTTCAGGACTGTCTCGCCCACTGTTTGCAACAGATCTGCTCTAAACAAAGAACTGTAGATCCTACCAGTACATTTTTCTAAATCAAACTATTAATCACATGTACTATTATGTTGTTGTTGCCACTACATTTATTCAATAAAGATTTTAAAAATGAACCAATAGGTTCAAATGGGACACAGCCAGATAATGTATGCAACATAAAAGAAGTACATGCAGCAACTTTTTGAATATATATATAAAAAAAATACATATAACATTGCTGTAAGCCTACAGTGCAAAATACCATTAGTTACATGGCATGCCAAAAGTTAAAAGCAGAAAACTTCAGCCAGCATATCCATGAAAGAATTAAGAAAAAAAATCAATCATGTTGGTAATTATATAGCTTGCTATTGCATATCAAAAAAGCAAAGTAGCAACATCCACATGCATCAACAGGTTTCTCATTAAAAAGAAATCCACCTAAAGCATCATATGTTGGCAAGAAATGTATCAGGCTTTGCACCCAGGTAATGGAACTGAATGGGATTTTGTAAAACTTTATGTGGCCTAGCATATCTGCCACTCTTCATTGCTTTGGTTGTTAAGGCTGCAATCCTATACAAACTTGGAATGGAATGCAGTGTGCAGCTTAATTTCTGAGAAAATGTATCAAGAACTGTATCACTAAACATTCTTTATTAAGTAACAAAAAGGACACTTGTTTTTAACATGTCAAATACAGTACATTAATCAGAAAAGCTCATGGAGAGAAACTAATACCAAGTCAGCATACTCCAGTTTGCTATTACTGACTTCATAAGTAACTAATCTATAATCACATATATTTATTATCAGAAATAATTCACACAGTACGCTTCCAACAAAGGATGAACTAGATTGCAGGGTTTGTTCCCATTTTTCCTCACAGATAACTAAATAAATAAATTTGAGAGAGAAGTACATACTACATTTCATAATTCACAATATAGACTCAGTAATTAAAAAGAAACAAGAGACGGCATTGCAGTTTATTGGCAGTTAATATAGTAGACCAAATAAGAGTGTAAGGCTAGGCTAAGGATGCCTGGTTTCAAATCACAGAAACTCAGTGGGGGGAGGGGGTGTTCAATGGTCAACCACTTCCCTCAAAAGGCCTATTAGCATCACTAGAAGCAGGAAGGCAACTTGATGGCATATAACAACACTACAATTTGACTCTGAGGGGTTAGCACAGAAGTTTAGTGTTGCCAAAGAAATTGTGACTAACTGGAAAAGTCTCTTTGAAAAGGCTGGGATGAACTTGAACAAAGGAAAAAGGCTAGATTTTCTTCTGCTTCAAAATTAGATACATTTCTTAACATAAGAGGGATCTAGAAATCTTTAGGGGGAAAATACTTGTTTTGAACAAGATAGAATATTGCTTATAAAGGTTTAGGCTCAAACTTCAACTAACACATTGTTAAGTCATTAAGTCGTGTCCAACTCTTTGTGACCCCATGGACCAGAGCACACCAACTAACACATACAGGATTGCGTAAACATCCCCTTTAATAGACTTTCAAAATGAACATTTACTTAATCAAATAAGTTAGCCATTTTTTTAAAAAAATCTCCTTTTTCTTTTTGTCATAATGTGGTACATACGCGCCAAAAAAAATCTAAGTCTTTTGATAGATGCTTACTGATAGGCACTGATAAGTTATAAGGCACTCAACTTATAAATACAAGATAATCCAAACTGTGACAAATATAGTATATCTTCCTCATTTTCTATAAGAATGCCCTCTAAATATTACAGCAAATATGTTTCCCAACACAACACATTACTATAACATGTACTTTCAGTCTTATTCTTAAACAATAAGTTTCTTTGACTATGCAGCCTAGGTTCCAGGAGTTGCAAACAGCAGGGCAGAGTACTCAGCAGAGGAATGTAAGGAGAACAAAGACAATTCTTCTTCCAGTTTGGCCTCACCCCACCTCAGCTAGTTTGGCATCATCCTCTTTCAGTTAATTCAAGCAGTATCTTGCTGGTTCTACCACTGAAGTATATCCACATAAATCAAAAACCTTGACAGCATAATATGCCCAAACCAGTGTCTTTCCCTTGGAAAAAAAAAAAAGGGAAGGGCAAGAAGGGTCTGAGACTGACTTGTCAATGAAATAACTTGACTAGAACATGATAAAACCTCCAAAACACAAACATCGCTTAATTTCAGTGGGCCTCTCCTATTTCAAATTATTACCCCCGCATTATTTTAAAACTTCCTCGCACCTTGAAAACAACGAACGTTCTTTATTCCAAGGGAAAAGGCTACGATTTTCATCGTTTCCCGTTTTTCAGACGGTCTCCCTAACTATACCTATGCGCGACTACTGCCTTCCCCTCTTCGCGTCTTATGCCCCAGAAGCAACAAAAGGCGATCCTGCTGGGCGGCTTCCCCGGGCGGGGTGTAGGGGATCCAGAGATCTTCCTCGTCCTGAGGGTCCCGACAAGCCTTCGCTGGGCCATAAAGGTGGTGGAGGATGCCAAGCAGAGTTTTTCATAGGCATGCTGAAAGTAAAGGGGTCGCCTGTGTTACGTCCGAGGAAACACGTGCGATCCCGGCCGGGGCCAAAACGAAATGATCGCCTTCCTCCTGTTAAGAATCTCCCTTCTTTCGCAGCTGAACGCGGAGGCTTTCCCACCTTGCCTCTCCGTTTTTCTACGTGCAACTTTTCCCAGAAGTGGTTCTAAATATGTTTGTTTTTTTAATTAAATAAAAGAAAACCCTGAACGATGAAGCCGTTTCAATGTATGATGGAAACCATCGTCTGCAACACGTCCCGTTTTCAAGGCACTCAACTGATCCAAGAGCAGTCCCCTGTACGCCCCAAGCCGCCGGCCCGGGAGGCCGCCCCTTCACCCAACGAACTTCGCTCCCTCCCAAGCGCCTGTCCTGGGCTGGGCGAGGATCGGCTCCCTGGCCGGCCGGCCGCTCAAGCCAGCCTTTCCAGCCGGAGCCCCGGCTCGGGGAACTGCGCGTTTCCCTCCTCGCCACTCCCTTCCCTCGCTCGCTCTCTTGCGGAGGAGCAGCGCCACTTTGCCAGCGACCCGCTTACTCACCAGGAGGCCCACCAGGAGCTGGAAGCAGGCAGCTGGCCGGAGCGGGGCCATGTCTCCACAGGTGATTTGGCGGGAAGCACGGCTCGGCGGGGTTGCCTGTGGGGAGGGGGGCCTTTCTCCCGAACGCGCGCGCGGCGACGAGCTGCCGGCGACGGCGACCAGGTGAGTCTGAGAGGTTCCCCGCCCGGTGGCTACAAAGGTGGCGGCGGCGCGAAGAGAGCAGTGAGGAAGAGGCGGCGGCGGCGGCCGCTCCCTCCCTCCCTCCTACTTTGTTTTTCCCCTCCCTTGGTAACTCGGGCTCCAGCTGCCGCTCCCGCCGCCTCCCGTCCGGGGCAGGCTTGAGCTCAGGGCTAGGGCGCGGCAACGAGAAAGAGAAAGAGTCTGAAGCAGCGGCGCCTCTTCTAAGCGAGCACTTTTAATTAGGCTCTCTTTCTCCCCTCCCCCCCCTCGCTCCCACTTCCACTTTCTTTACGTTTAGCCCGGGAGTGGAAGAGGACCCGCCTTGGGCCCTCACCCCGCCTCTGGGTTGGGCCGCAGGGCTTTGCGCCGCGAGTGGCCCGCCTTCCCTGACCCGCCTGGCCTCTTCCTTGTCCGGGGAAACCTTCGCACGGGGCCAGGTGGTCGGCGAGCCGGGCTCCTGAGGGCTTCGGGACCGTGCGTGCGGCTGACCATTCGCGGCGCCTTTCCCACAACCCAGCAGAGCCTCCTCCCGCCCCACGAATGGTTTTCTTTTCCCCCAGTCCTCCGCCCCCCCCCAGCAGTGTCGGGCAGAGAATCCCGTCCTTTGACCATTTTCAGGAGGAAGTTTTAAAATCATTGTTCCTCTCTTTTTTTTCTCCGTAACAGTATCTTCCGACTTCCGCCTCTTCTCGCCAGGGGTACAGAATGTGTGCTCTGTATGGAGCATAACTGAGTTACCTTTAATCATCATCATCATCTTAGAACCGCACAGCTGGAAGGGACTCTATGGGTTATCTAGCCCAGCTAAAAGTCTGTGAGGACTCGAACTCCCAACCTCTGGCTCTGCAGCCAGATGCCTAAATAAATGCAGAGAATTCATATTGGGAATTAATTGTTTTGCCTAAATACAGTACAGAGAATTCATATTGGGAATTAATTGTTTCCAGTAATTTCAGTGCAGCTTGTTATAAAAATTGGAGACCCACATACACAAAAATGACAATACTCATATAACAAAAATGGCTTTAATTTATTCTGTATCATTTTTTTAAATTGCAACTCTAGATAACACATCAGGAGTATTTGGGGAGAGGAGTTTATTGGAGAACAGTACAGAGAATTCATATTGGGAATTAATTGTTTCCAGTAATTTCAGTGCAGCTTGTTATAAAAATTGGAGACCCACATACACAAAAATGACAATACTCATATAACAAAAATGGCTTTAATTTATTCTGTATCATTTTTTTAAATTGCAACTCTAGATAACACATCAGGAGTATTTGGGGAGAGGAGTTTATTGGAGAATACTCTTAAGAGCTATGAGTTTCTTCATCTATTGGCTCATAGTCTGATTTATCAATTTACTCTTACGGTTTGTGTATCCCTTCTGATATACTAAGCATAAAGATTAGTGCTGGGAATTTTCCAGGACAAGGATGTAATATTGGGATAGGGTCTGCTTTAAACCAAATGTGCCCATGCAATTTGATATTGTTGGAGCACAGTCTTACAGATAAAAGCATGCCTTGTTCTTTTAACCTGGATAGTTAGTTTCCTCTGAATATTGATATTACTGAAAATTTCACAGTATGAAATTTATTTTATGTTACATCATTTTGTGCTATATCATATTCCATGATAACAAGGATTGCTTGCTTGAGCTATATACTGCCTTTCTCCCTAAGAATTAAAATAAGATCCTTGGTAAATCTTCTAATTGTATTCAGAGCTTTTACAAAAGCATGATTAGTGAATATAATATGATTTTTTCCTAAAGGGATGGAGATTTATTTATTTTTTTGTTGCAACAAAAGTGCCAGAGAATGTTATGGCACCTTAAGAGATAACAATTTCACTATAACACAACCTTTTGTGAACTTCAAGTTCCTTCAACTGATGCAGATTAAATGCAATCCAGAATTTTAGGCATGAATCAGACTCAGGACAGAATTATAAACACTGAGATCAGAGGAACATTCAATACAAAAAGCACTGTCAATGACAATTACATTACTAACCCTGATCACTCACAAAGCTGTTGCTAATAAATGCTAACATTTAAAAAAAGTTATAACTAGACCTTTGTTTTGCTTTTGGAAACACCCATTATATGTACTTTTTAACAACATTCTTACTCACTATTATGGGTGATACCCAATTGTTGATTCTAAACTAGAATATCTACATGAATTGGGACATCTATTGCTGTTAACAAGTCTCATGTATTCAGTGAGCCTACTCTAGGAGTAACTACCAACTTAATTTAGCCCTATTTTATGTTTTAATAAAACTCTGATATGTCAAGTTTTTAACAACATTCTTACTATTATGGGTGATACCCAATTGTTGATTCTAAACTAGAATATCTACATGAATTGGGACATCTATTGCTGTTAACAAGTCTCATGTATTCAGTGAGCCTACTCTAGGAGTAACTACCAACTTAATTTAGCCCTATTTTATGTTTTAATAAAACTCTGATATGTCAAAACAATAAACCATAAGCAAATTTATTTGTAAATCATATGTATCTGGCACATTAGTAATGTTTTATCACCTTCAACAGCACTCAGAAATGTCAATGTTTTTATAGAATAGCCAATGAATATGGAATAAAAGAAAAGTTAAAGTTTGTGATTTTTGATGAAATAGTTGAATGAGTACAATTTCAGGCTGACCTTTTATGTTGATGGCTCTTGAGTTTGATATTGGTTCCCAATGCTGTTGGTTGACAAGCCTTCTGTGAGGAAGAACTTTTGAAACATGAAGAGAGGGCCAAAAGAATATAGCATGTTGAAGAGGAAGCAAGGTGGATTTGATGAAATCAGTATTCAGTAAGACTCAATTAAAATCAAGATTTTTAAATGTAGAGACTCTTGCTGGTAGTTATAATCTTTAATATTTGCAACCAGATGAAGACTTCATATTTAGAATAATAACTTATCAGATTAGTAAAACAGCTATGTCAGAGCTGACTTTAGTTTAATAGGTTAATCACTCATTTTGGAGAACTACTTAAACTGTTTTATTCAAATAAAACAATAACATCATATAGCATACATATTCTTGTTTTTGATTAAACATCAGTGAAATGGTTAAACAAAATATCTTTCCTGAGAGGAAATGAAAAAGGCATTGCTAAGAGAGCAGAAGTGGCTTAGGATATTATTTAGTTGAATATGCTTGGAGTCCCAGAACATATTTCTGAACTATTGCGAACCCATTGAATCAAACTTATTCTTACATTGCATCTCTTGCTACATTGCTTTGTTGGCTCATGAGTGGGCTGATTTGCTGACATCACTGTGATGTTAGGCTGACCTCAGTGTTAGGTAACACTGATTTTTTTAGCATGTTCTTTTTCTTCTCATACTGAACCTCATTTTAGACTTACATATAAGAAAGTCACAACAGAAAAAGTTGGTCCAGTATAGCTATAATACAATCCACAACTTTGGGAGTTCTCTTGCACTCTTTCATTTTCACTCTCATTATTAAATACCACCCAACTGTCTGTTATTAAGGTGAGTAATGTGTGGACAATACACTTATAAGCATGGATTGTATCATCTAAGTATTATGTTGGGCAGGGATGCAGTATCATAACTAGGGTGGGAATGACAGCCTTAGAAGTGGCTGTTGCATTCAAGGAGCTTCAACTGCTGATACACTAAAGAAATTGAGAAGTGTTGAAGGAATCATGATGCTATTTTTTTAAACCTAAGACATATTTAGCCAGCTGGATAACTCAGTGAGTTAGGTATCTGGTTGTGGAGCCAGAGACTGGGAGTTCGGTTCCTCTCTGTGCCTCCAGGGAGAAGAGCCAGCCTGTGTGACCTTGGACAAGCCGCACAGTCCCACATTGCTTCCAGAAGAAAGGAAGGGAAACCACTTCTATTCTCTGTAGAAAACCCTGAAAAGAATCGCCATAAGTCAGAACGTAGAAGCCACCCTTCACGCATATCAAAATGATTTATGCTGTCACATTAGGTCCATGGTTGAAAAACATCCCCTGTGCTAGTACAAGTCCTTTGAGTCTGCATCTTGTTAAATTCTGGTCTGAGTATTAAATACTGTACAGGAATTCATTTTGAATTATGTTTTTAATTTTTAAAAAGTCCCATTTAGAGTAACAAACAAACAAACCCAAAATTCATCACATTTGAACATGTTCATGTAATTGTACTTTGATTTGTAATAATTTATAATGTCAAAATACTTTAGTGTATTTTTTTTTCAGGTGGCTTGCTTGGTCTGTATTGTTGCATGTTGTGTGGATATTGTGTGCTCTTAGGAGGGGTTCAGGGTTTTAGGATGGTTATGAGGGTGTGTGTGTTTTGGTCTGGTCTCTGAGTATTCTTTGTGAATTTTGTTGTATATGTATACTGTGTATATACGTTCAATGACAATAAATTATTATTATTATTGCTGCATATGATTATTATAGAACTTTGTTGCATATTTGTATAATGTGGTCCATGGTAAAAAGTTAATCACTAGTGAATTACCTGTTTACTTGTCCTCTAAACCAGCCATTCTCAACAAGGCCCATATGGTCTCCCAGGAGGCCCTGACACATTTGAAGGGGGTTGCAGACTGGAAACAATTCTTCACACATCACCTTATAAGGTTAATTATGCGACGTATGCAATCCTGATTCAGCTTACATTTCTTTCATATTTCTTTGGCCATGGCCAAAGCTGAGAATATTTATTTTCTCAAAGTAATTACTGACAATTACCAGTTTTATATTCACACTTTTATAATGACAGAACAGACTAAAAATCTATAAAGTGCAAACTCTGGTATAAGCCATGACCAATTAGGGCCAGTCCTTTCATTAGGCAACCACCTCAGGCCTCAAAGACTGGTGTTTAGGACACACACAGCATATCATATATTCAAGCCTGTATTACTTAGCTTAGCCAGCAACCCTCAGGTCAGGAGAGGGCACTGTAATGTGATCAGTGGTGAAAGAAGATTCAACAGTCCGTCCCAACTGATGTCTGGATATGAAACATCAGAAAAGCCACTGTGTTTTGCATCAAGCATACAAATGTTTTGGGCCAACAATGTGCTCAACCGTTGTTGACTCTCACAGCTCAGTTGCTTTTCCAGGCTTAATAGCTAAGGTAGAAAAGGTGTGACAGGAAGTGTAGTGGGTGAAGTGTAAAAGCTTGTGGAGTGGAGTGTAAAGCTGTTCCCACAGCTATAAATACTCCACAAACAGCAACAGAGCATGGACAGAGTTCCTATGCCAGTCCTCTGAAGATGCCGGCCACAGAGACTGGCGAAACGTCAGGAAGAACAACCTTCAGAACATGGCCAAAGAGCCCGAAAAAACCACAACAACCATCAGATCCCAGCCATGAAAGCCTTTGAGAATACATTATAGTGGCTATATTTGTTGAACTAATAAGAATTCTTAAAAGTACTTTAACCTGGAAATTATTTTCCTTCACTCGGGCACAACACTTCAATCACTAAACTACACGTGATTTTCCTGTGAATCTTGGTACGTCATTTCAGTTCTAAACTTTAGTTAATCATGACTATGGTTAGTGGCTAAGTAAACCAAGGTTTCAAGTTGGTTTGTTTCGACTACCACAGTGATAGAACTCCTGACTGGTATATTATGCTTGCATAAGAGTGATAATATCACTAGCAGGAAGATATTTTCTAAGTTGCAACTAGGGTTGTTCCATTTGAATCAATGGAACTTGTGGAAGAGTTGGCTCACCAAATCCCCATTGATTCAACTTATCACCCTTAGCAATAGGATTTCAGCCAATGTGGCTGATTAGATGGGAGTTGGACAAGCCACAAGACAGAAGCAGGAACTCTTTAATCACTGAAAGTATGCTCCTGGTGTTTACATCATCACTCTTGTACAGGCATAATTACAGAACAGGATTTTTGCCAGTTAAGACTAAGATCGGTGTTTAGCTCAAATGATATAACAATTGAAATTAATAAAAAAAATGTTGGCAAAACCTTTTGCAGCTCTGCGGGAGTAGGACACAGGAACATGCAAATTTCTTTCAGCTCTGCTAGAGTAGGACACGGAAGCATGCAAACTTGGGATTTGCTGTGATTTATCCTAGTAAACTTGAATGGGAAAACAACAGAATCCAAAAGATTTGGAGGTTCCAGGTTCGGAAATGGCCTGTATCCAAAAGAACCCAAAACCAAAGAAGGATCTCTCAAAGACCCTGACATGAAAGAAATGTTTTCCTCCAGAACATCCCTAATGCTGATTCTTTTGCATGAATATCATAAACATGAATATTACCTTTTCGTTTCTTCAATTATTGGGGGACAAGACACTCACCAAATAGCCTTTAATCTCTTGATGCCAGCAGGTGTGACAAGCAAAATAAGACATATTAAAAATACTTGTCAAAGTCAGTATTACTGTTGAAAAAGCAATCCATTTTATCATGTATTGATATATCTTTGTCTTAGTCTGACAGCACCTTTCACAAGCATGATATCAGATACATTTATGGGCTTCCTTTCCCTCCATTTTTCTTTCACTGCAGAATGATACACGGAGGAGCCTGTATCCATGCAAGTATTATGTGTGCATCTAGTTCAGAAATAAATTATGAAGTTCTATATTTACGTACATACCGTATCTTTCTTTGCTATTAAATTGAAAAGCTGTTTCATAATGCAGTAATTTAAAATTTCCTCAGTTTAAGCCACAAAGTACAATTCAGTGCAGTTATATACATATAAATCCTACAGATATTTATTGGCCTAACTTTATGTACTCATGCACTGGTTTGGGAGAACAACACCTAGAATCAAATACACGTACTGTAAATTTAAACATATAAATTGTGACATGCACATTTGTACCATATCATTCATTATTTCTAAAGCTCTAGAAAAGAGGCTGAATAAATAATCTTTCTACTACCAAGACTACTATTGCCATTATTAACTGGCTGTTCTTGAGAATTAGAACATGTAACATAAAGATTGCTAGGCAATGTACAGCGTAAAGCATGGTAATTCATAAATCAATACAAAAGTTCAATATAATATACAGATTAAAAAAGAAATAAATCACACTTCAGGAAGGGCCTGTGTCTAGCAAATGACAGAAAAGTCCATGTTGCTTGCATAGTGTCAATACAGAGGGAGATTTTTTTGCAAGATGGATGGAAAGGCACATGAATAGGGTTGCAGTATTGGTTTCCTTGATGCATTTAGTATCTTTAGCCAAACTTATCTTACAGGTTGTAGTGAGTGTAAATAAGAGAGGAACTATATAAAGTTGCCAAGTATTTTGCTGGTGCATATAAGTAAATGTGTGTGTGTGTGTGTGTGTGTGTGTGTGTGTGTGTGTGTGTGTGTGTGTGTGTGAGAGAGAGAGAGAGAGAGAGAGAGAGAGAGAGAGAGAGTGCCACATGCCACCAAGTCAAAATCAACTTTTATGGCCACCCTAATAGGGCTTTCAAGATAAGTGAGCTATTTAATAAATGGCTTTACCAGTGCCACTCCCCCCAGTGAGTTTCTTGGCTAAGTGGAAATTCAAAGCCTGTTCTCCATAGTCCTAGTCTGTCACTCTATCCTAATAAATGGCTTTACCAGTGCCACTCCCCCCAGTGAGTTTCTTGGCTAAGTGGAAATTCAACACCTGTTCTCCATAGTCCAATCTGTCACTCTATTCACTACACCACACTGGAAATCACCACACTGGAAATCCTATGTAAGTAAATACATAATGACATTTTGTTGAGCACAGAGGCTGATTTTCATTGGACACTATCACTTTTTGCCATCAGATTCTATTAGTTGCACTTTACAGTGCTAAAGTAAGGATATGACTATGCTTTTGAATTAAATTGGGAGCTGATTTGGGTTTTCAGAACCCAGTGTGGTGTTCGGAATGTCATGCATTTTGTTTTCTTTGGGGGGGGGCGTTAACGGAACAGTTTTTAGTCTTATTGTAAGCTATGTGGTTTATTGACATTTTAGTGCTACGGTTCCTAGCTTTTCCTCTGTACCACCTTTCTTGAGGCAGAACTTGCTTGCCTTGAGACAGCTGACTCAGGACTCAGCAACTTTTAATCAGCAAAGCCAGCATCAGCAGCCTACAAATATTCTAGCAGACATCATCCTTCAAGAATCATCATGCCTGGTCCAAATCATGGTTTTTATTTTTAAAAAATATAAATGTTGAAGTGGCATAGTGCTAGATGCAGTGCTAAAACATAAACAGATTAAACAGATTAGCGGGAAAGGAATAGTTTGGGCTGCAAGGTATCTTGCAGCCCAAAGCCTGTTTGTACTTGGCATCCAAAACTCAACCCATAGACACTATTTACTCTGGCCAAAAAAAAAATGATAGATTAAAATTGATTTAAAATAAACAACCTCAACATGAGTGCTTTTTAAAAAAAATAAAAAAACACTGCTTCCCACCTGAAAAAAATATGCATCTGGCTGTATGTCATGAAGCTGGAGATTTTAATTCAGTTTCAAGCATGCTAAACACAATTCAAAAACAGAAGTACTGTTACATGTAGTCAAGCCCTGCGTCACAACTAGTGTAGTCCTCTTTAAATCAGTAACTCTTTTGGGGGAGTTGACTCAGCAAATCCCAATTCAATGGGTCCACGCTAGTATGACTTACTATACCAAGCTACAGGATTTCAGCCAGAAACTTTTTTTTAAGATTAACACATATTGAACTTAAACTTTTGTTCAGATGTTAACATAGGCGTTAAATCTTAAGATCTGGTGTTACACACTCTCAACAAATTTCAGGTCCTCAATAATTTTTAAAATCTCATATTAAAATCCTTTAAATCCCTTCTACTTAAAGGAATTTAAAAAAAACACGAAGAAATGCGGGAGGGGGGGAGAGAACCTGCTCAAAAAAATGTTATGGGCACAAATTACAGGAAAGCTTTCCTGCCCAAGTCCTCTCGAGATGAATTACAGCTGCATTTCAATGCAGATTGCACAGGTAGTCTTTCAAGTGAATTGCAGTTTTCAGGAACAGTGTAAGCATGCTTATCTTTTACAAAGGCTTCAACTAATATCCTAAATGGGGGTTCTGGCTGATTTAAAAAATCAAGTTCTTCTTCTTCTGATTCACCCGTGCAGGAGCTTAGGGAACCAACAGGTGATCCTTTTCCTTCATAGTTATATGATAGTACATATTCTTCAAGATGTTTACGTTCATCATCCTGTTCACACAGAAACACCTTCTGCATATAAAGAAAATGCATATTAACAAGATGCAATTAATGACATTGAAAGTACACTTAAAGATATTGCCTTTTCATTTTATCCAGTTTCCAAAGAAGTAACTACGTTAGTCTCTTTCAGCATATCAACAAAATTAAAAGGAGATTTGATAAATTATAGTTTTTTACTGCTGGCATGAGATGCTGATTAATATCACCTTACTTTCTGCTGGTGCTTTTATATAGATCAAGTGTGCACAAAAGGGTTGAGAAGAAACATAACTAAATTATTTGGTCTGGGCAAGACACTTCAAGGCAGTATATCAAGAGTCTATTTAACCTCATGATATTTCACCTCCAGCCTAAGAATGAAGTGAGCATGCTTTTTCACCTAGCTGGTGTTCCTACCATTTGCACAAATTGTGTCTATACAAAACTAGTGCCTTTCCTTGTGTAAAGTGAAGAATGCATACACACAAACAAGCAAAGAACAGGCTGTTTGATATAAATAATCCATACAGAACTTCTTCATTTTGAAGTAGAGCCTTCAAAGTTTAGCTATAATTTTCTTAATTAAAACAGTTGGCATAATTTGGTAAAAAAATAATATTTGCAAATGTGAAAACTTTCTCAAATTTTACAGAAAACATTTCAGAAATATCTAATTTACAACCTTGGAACTCAAAAATTAGTTCCAAGGTTGTAACGACTGCCGTCTTCAATAGTGGAATATACAGTACTTGTTTAATTGCAGGCCAATCTCTAATATAGCAATATTCAATGCCAAAAAGTGAACTTAATGTTAGCTACCTGCATGAAATATTTCACTCTGGGATGACTAGGATTAACATTAACAGAAAGATGAGCACTTACTTCAGCTAAGTGAGGATTGGTGAAATGCTGCCATTCAGAACAGATATCCTTGCATGAGTTCCGCAAGTGTTGTCCCAAATCCCTTAAAGATCCTGTCACGTGATTTCCTACCCCCTTAACTAATTCTGTTGTGCTCTGCCTTCCTCCTTTCACCATTTCCAAACTTTCCCCCTTCACAATTTTTCCTCCTTTCACCATTTCCAAACTTTCCCCCTTCACAATTTTTTCTCCAACTGTGCTCATGCTCATGGATGCTTTCATGGTTTCCACTGGACAGACATTCAGGTCCTGTGGGGTGAAGAGATAACAGAATACGTATCTAAAAACCTTTATGATTGCCAAACAGCCATATAAATTAGGCCTGAGTCCCCAGTGAAGTCAGACCAAATTATCTAGTCAGAGTACTTACAGAAGTTACCTTCTGGCTACAGCTGCCAAAACCTCCCATCATTTTGGCCACTCCCTAGGAGATTCCAGGAATACTCATTTCCCCCTGCTTCCCCGCCATTCAGAAAAGAGCTCTGTTCATCTCAAATCCATATCAAGCTAACAGCTCTCTCGTTTCCTTGATATCTACATGATTGCCAGTTCACCATTCCCTCCATCCAGAACAAGTTCCAGGGACATTTTACACTACCAGTTCAGATAGCAACCTCTTAGATGCTCCTGCCTCCATCTGATGTGGCTGCAACCAAGACAGCACTGAAAAGCCTACTTTCTTTGAACAAGCTGCCTCAGTTTGAATTCCACCACTCAGCACAAAAAGTGATCCTATTTTGTTCCTTACTCTGCCCCACTTCAGGATACTGGATGCATCAATAAACAGCAAAATGTCAGGGGTTGTAATAAAAGCAAATGGGGGGGCGGCAACTTATGTATAATACAATAGCATTTGTTTGTGTTCAAGATCTCCCTAGCATGAGTTCCAATACCCACAAACAGACACACGGAACAAATGTAGTAATTAGCTTTAAGCCTAAGTATACCAAAACACCTCTTACAATGATTTTTTATAAAATCACAAAGTATATATTTCCCTTCCTATAGTAATGAGCTAGCATTATGACTTTTACTGCTATGTGTTATAACCTGAATGAAGGTTTATGACTTTCCTTTTTTTTATGAACCAAATGGAGTGATTAGATTGTTAGTTAAGTTAGAAAAACTAGTCAGGTGAAAAATACTACTTACCATCAATTCTTCACCTGGTGCCTCAGTATTTGAAGGACTTAAGTTGGGGGAACCCATATTATCAGACATTTCTCGTGTCATGGATTTTCTTTTACGGAGCCAAAGACCAAAGGGCACACCCATGCCTCCTGCAAGAGGAAATATGCAAAACCTGAAATTTAGATTTTATTGAAGTGAGGCCATATGTGAAGGAAACTAGATTTATCAGATATAGATACATTGGATATAGAAATATTTGTATCTGTTAGTCTTCAGGGCAAAACATATTTTTAAAAAGTCCACATTGTTGTAATGACTTTAGGAGGCCAACTAAATATTTAAGTAACTTGGGAAGGGAGCTAGAATCTTTCTCCTTGATATCTAAGGTTGACATTCTAAGATAGTAGGTATCTCTTCTCCTGTGTTGAGAGGTAAACAGCCTCCGCTATTTAAATATGAAGTTTCTTCAGGGTATCATTTTTATGCTCTGCTGCTCATATATACAGTGGTGCCTCGCTTAGCGAGGTTAATCCGTTCCGGATTAACCCTCGCTCAGCGAATCCATCGTTAAGTGAAACAAAAAAGCCCATAGGAACGTATTAAAACTGATTTAATACGTTCCTATGGACTTAAAACTCACCGTTCTGCGAGTTTCCTCCATTGTGGCGGCCATTTTGGATGCCTCATTAGCGAGGCAAAACAGTGGTCGCCATTTTGTTTTAGCGGCGGCCATTTTGGAACCGCCGATCAGCTGTTCGCTATGCTTTGATCGTGTCCGCGCGATCATCGCATAGCGAAAAAGCCCATAGGGTATCTTCTCCTGTGTTGAGAGGTAAACAGCCTCCGCTATTTAAGTATGAAGTTTCTTCAGGGTATCAATCATATGCTCTGCTGCTCATATATATATGAAAATGAACCACACCAAGCAGATAGTAGCCTTTGGAATGTCAGATCATGGTCATTGTTGCATTACATTCTTGCCTTGGGCAATGCCAGCTGCAAGTGTAAGTCCTGGTACTGGGAAAGCAATTAGAAGGAGAGTGTTGAGGTCCCCTCCCTGCAACACATTCAGAGTTCATTCTTTTTGAGTAATGGACCAAGTGTAGATGCAGCCTTAATGTCCTTGAGGTCTTAACTTACCCATCATTAATACCGATCCTAATCCACCACCACTGTATATGAAAATGAACCACACAAAGCAGATAGTAGCCTTTGGAATGTCAAATCATGGTCATTGCTGCATTACATTCTGGCCTTGGGCAATGCCAGCTGCAAGTGTAAGTCCTGGTACTGGGAAAGCAATTAGAAGGAGAGTGTTGAGGTCCCCTCCCTGCAACACATTCAGAGTTCATTCTTTTTGAGTAATGGACCAGGTGTAGATGCAGCCTTAATGTCCTTGAGGTCTTAACTTACCCATCATTAATACCGATCCTAATCCAAGTGCCCCCCAGGGGAAAAAAGCTGAGGTAGTCAGCAGACTATATGGACTGCGATCTGCATGAGTATCCAAAGGATCACGATCTACAGCAATATTGTCAGAACAATCACTTGGAATTATACAGTCACAATAGTGAATTGTTATTTCACTTATTCCATTATTGCCTCCATTGTCGTATATTCTGATAGTAATTGTATAGTAGCCATAGTCTATATCTTCCATGAGTGAGATCAAAGCTGAATCATCTGTAAAACAAATAGCATATCTTGTTTTTAATATTTCTTTTTATATTATTGCAACATTAGGTACACTCATCAACATGGGACATTAGGAGAAACGTAGATACCTTTCTTTGGTGTTAGTGTCCATGTTGAGCCCACTGGTGTTTCTATTTCAAAGTTGAAAGGTGCAGTGTTGGGAGGAAGATCAGCATCAAATGCCGTAATGCAAATCGGTTTTTTGTCCTTACACATGATGTAATCTTTTCTAGTAATGATGGGATAATTGTCATTCTCATCCATTAGTTTTATTACAATTTTCCCAGTACCTGTTTTCCCACCTGGGGAATAAAAAATAATAATAATTTTGGATTAATAGTGCAAATAGTTTCCAAATTGTCTGTTTTTATCTCATTCATGGAAATTCATAGCAAGGGAATCTTACTGGTGCCAGTGATAGATAGATAGATAGATAGATAGATAGATAGATAGATAGATAGATAGATAGATAGATAGATTGATTGATTGATTGATTGATTGATTGATTGATTGATTGATTGATTGATTGATTGAAAGGCAAGAGCCAATACAACTCCCTTGTGGCTATATCCACTGATGCAAAAGGCTTCAGGAGTTAACCTAGAGGCAAAATCTGGAGCTGGAGTCCCGAAGGCAGTTTGTGTCATTCTGCCAACTCCTGCGACGTTGCTGGAACCCGTTGTATTGGCTCTTGCCTTTCCATTGGACCATTTCAGCAATGTGGAGAGGGGGATCTGCTGCTTGGGTAACAGCCTATCCTCTATATTACTTTACCCAGGCTTCATGATCTGGAGAGGACACTCCTCGATTCAGAGCATGTTACCATAGTCTTTTGAGACTGAAGGATGCCTATGAATGAAAAGATGGATGGATGGATGGATGGATGGATGGATGGATGGATGGATGGATGGATGGATGGATGGATGGATGGATGGATGGATCCTAGGACATTGGGGGAAATGTAGTTCCTGCTATTATGTTTTCCATCAGACACAGAAGTCCTTCAAAGCACAACCAGACTTGCAAACAATGCCTGTGTTTGCCTCCCAATGAGCAATCAGAAAGTAAAAATGAGTTAATTTCAGAATGGAGAATAAAGAACACTTTATATTCACGAAGGCTTTCATGGCCGGGAAGAACAACCTTCAGAATATGGCCAAAGAGCCCGAAAAACCCACAACAAACAAAGAACACTTTGTTAGGACAATCAAATATCTTTATGTTAGTAGTACAGTATATATAATTATACAATATAGTGTGGACATACATACATGTATGTATATGTACGTTTAAATATTTTTGCTGTGAAAAAACAGAAAGTCGTATTTGCATAGCATAGCATTTCAACCAATCATTATGTATCTGGAGTCAGCCAGGCAGCTATATAAAGCAGGTGTCAGAATTCTGTTGGATAGGGACTGATGACAATAGTTGACTAAGACAGGGACATGTACAAACATGACCATACAGACAGGATCCAATGTGGTCAAATAGGGCTGACAGGAATAAAGATGTAACTGACAGGAATTGATAGGGCCAGATAGGGCTTAAAATATAATAGTATTACAATGAGTTACTGATTTATCAGAGGGAACTATGTCTGCCAATAAGTCAAGAACATATATAACAAATACCAAATGTCTAAGCACTATGAGTTATGTTGTATTTTACATATATTTATAAGCAGCTAAACAAGGCAACCCGAATTCTACAAGTCCTTGCATTGTTACGTAAACATTGCTGTGTGGATAACTGACGTGATGAAACTCTGCTCAGTAGAAGAGTTGGGAGCGGACATGTTCTCCTACAGAATCCTGTCAGGGTTTTGTTTTATTTTTTGTTTGCTTGTTTGTTTGTTTGGTACACAGGAGATACAGAAGACCATACAGTACTTTGGGGAGAAAGTAGAGCTTTTCACATCATTTAGTGCTCACTTTGATCAGTTGCAGAGACTGTTACACTGCATTCACTGTATTCCATGTCTGGTACATCTCTGTCTAAAATCGTAGTAGTTCTTAGATCTCCTGTATCATCAATGGTGATCCAATTGCATTCATCTTTTATTATTCTGTAACTATAAAGAACAAATAGCATTTTGATATCATAAATACAGCATTGTTTCCTGATTTTGTCCATAATCTTTACACCAAATTGTCTAAAAACATAAAGCTGTACCTTAAGCCTCTATTGCTTCCAGTTTCTGGATCCCTTGCTTCATAGTTACCAACCACTGTTCCACTTGGCAAACATTCCTTTATGTTTAGAATATATTCACAAGGCTCAAATACTGGTCCCTCATCCTCATCCCTGACACTGATCACAACAGTGATCAGACTTGTTGATACAGCCCTTGCATTGAGTGGCAGAACGTAAGTTGCTTCATTGTCTACAATAATTTCTAATCTTCTCTCCTTGGTATTCTCATAGTCCAGTTTCTGAAAATAAATGCATTTCTATTAAAATCAATATAAGGCCTCACATAGTTTGCTACAGCTGTCGTAAAAAAATAGAAGGCCAAAATGCCCAATAACAATACTTCCTAGTCCATGTTTTGACATTTGCTTAAGCTTCTCTTCCGTCCTCCCTTTTTCCTCCCCCTCCCAAATCACAAAGGCTGTGGAAAAATTTCCATAATAGCTTAAACTGGAGTAGCATTAGCATCCATGTTAATTTCATTTCAAAATTAGGAAAATTATCACATTATTTATTTAATGTCTTTTTACTACAGTTACCTTTGAAAGAATTAAACACCCAACATTTGTATTTTCATCCACGGTAATATAAAAATTGTTATCTTCATTTCCTTTTATAATAGTGAATGTAGCCAACCACGCAGGTGTTCCAGGTTCATCATTATCAATCACAGGGATGCACAGTATTTCTAAATTTTCTGTGTTTTCAGAAACAGACACTTCATACTGAAATAAACAAGGGGTTTCAAGTATTAGCTTATGAAAACTTTGTTGTTATGTACCATCAGGTTGAAACCAACTTATAGCAGCCCTAGCAGGGCTTTCAAGATAAGTATTTAAGGTAATTATTTAAGGAGTGGTTTTACCAGCTCCATACCTCCAGTGAGTTTCCATGGCTATGCGGAGTTTGAACCCTGTTCTCCAGAGTCCTAGTCCATCTTTCTATGCACTGCATAACACTGGGTGTGAAAACTATATACATAACTAAAATGTATTTATGAAGGGACAGCAAAACCACGAAGACTGAATATTATTTA